GACCTGAAATTCACACAATGTCTTGCTAATAGGTGTATAAATCGAAAGCTAGGGCTTGGAAGTCTGACCTTTTAAAAGTTTAGGCTCCCTCTTGGAACTGATATTCGAGTGATATTTCCTATGTTAATATCCTCGTTATATTATTCAATCCAAAGTAACTTGGGATTGCGTCCATATAAGTTAGCAGGTGTTCAAGTACTCTAAGCGTGGTTGGCATTTTATTTTACAAAATCTATATCTGGCCAAGGATACTTTTGAGCGCATGCCTCCTATAGTCTTTGCTGCGAACTCCTCGACTTAAGCAAATCTAAAGTTAGGAAGTAGGCACATCAATATCTGTTCTTTGTGCAGCAGCAGGTTGCAGATTTGGAATGTTATGCTTGAATCGTCGCATTTAAAGCGGTTCCAGTTAAATTTTGTTGCGACTTCCTAGATAATTCTTTTCCGATGCCTCAATAACCACATGCTTGTTAAACAACACCTCAGGTATTCTAGAGCAATATTGTTGATCTTTCTCGTTTTACCATATATTCCACTGGAGTACTCGAAAAAGGGGCAGTGAGCAGCTTAAATGTTCTACCTTAACATGCTTTGTGTAGACTTTGTCGGATATATTAACCACAGATTTTAACAAGAAAATTGTCAGTATTCGGAGTAGTTGAATCTCATTAAGTCCATAATTCCAAGTTTGCGATCGGACGGCTGTAGAGCGACATGTATATAGTTGGGTGAGATAAATCCTTCGGATCTTAAAGAGTCGTAAGTTGTAATAATTGGTCTTTTCGCTGAGAGATTCACCAGTCACATTTTACCATGCCTCAGGCGAATATGCTTCATATTGAAGGAACAAACAGCTTAGCGTAAAATTCGCGAAGTCGAAAGTTATAGATAGTCATGATATCGTCTGGGAGTTAAATTGATTGACGGTATTTTACGGACGTGGTGGTCCCATTGCTGCAGAGTATTAACAACGAAGGAGGGAACATGCTTCAGTTGACAACCCGGTTGATGTCGCGTGACAAAAGACGATTGTTACATAACCTTACTGTCTAGTGGCAACCGCTCAGTTAAGTACCGACAATTTCCCTTTTTCTTTCAGCAATACACCGTGCTTTCTTTGTGAGTAACACTATGTCATTCCTATGGAAAATTGCGCCGAAAGCATCAATAATGTCTGTTTGGTGACTTTTGATATATAATTTATCACGCCCAGGGATAAGGATTTCCATGCTCTGGGGTTTATTCTTTTCAACGCAATATGCATATTAATTCTGTATGTTGACAGAGCAAGTTTATTCGTCCTCATGGTGCTGTGTGTGCTCACATAGGTTTGAAAAACCAACCATCTACCGTCTGAACGCGACTACGGATATCCAAGCACTCACTTTACAGAGACAATCACATCTGTTTCTAGACTGTTTACGTAAGGAGTACCTTGCATGCAGCTGTGGTGTTGAGATGACCAACAAATATGCTATCACTGGTCTTTCGTTGGTACAAAGCATTGAGATTGTAGTGAAACTCGTAAATTATGCCCATAGCAGATTTATCAAAAGACAGTTGCGAAGAAATTTATTTTCGACAATTCTTTTTAGGCAATTACAGTTATGAATTACATAATCGGTAGAAGAATATGCTATCAATAGCGTAGCATATTTATGTCGTGCCAGCTTTGTGATGTGCCGTGGTTAGCGCCAATTCTAAACACACAACCATAGATCAATGTGCCAAAAGTCAGCTGCCAGACCTATGGTCATCGGATAATCACACTTTGCACAAGAATTTTCTGTTTGTATAATTCCGGCTGCAGCCTGTGGATCGCGATGCCTTCCGCAGTGGTCAGCATACGCTTTCCTTGTCCTTTCGGCGATCTTTTCTGCGCAATTTAGAGTGCTTCAAAGCAGTCCTTAGTTTGGATATGATGTGCACTATCGATCGGAGGTTCAACAATTGAGCTGTGAATTTTCTTGATCGTGCCTTACCACAATGATGCCAGGCAGTGTTCAACTATCCGCCTCGGAAGACTTCTGGTCGTATGTCCTATGTACCGCGCACTACAGGCGCACCTGAATTGATATAAAAGGAATGACCCGGACTAGACCGCTTTTTGTCTTTGTGGCGTTGTGTAGTCAGCGGTATGGTCTCATTTTGATGTGGAATTTCGCGTCTGGCTTTGTTTGAGTCACTGCATTCAACAATTTCTTGTTCAGTAAGTCAAAGTGGATATCCCCTTGAAATGGACTAAAAAAAGACGTCCTTTTTCTTAAGATCGCTGTTGCGGTAGGCGAAGCGTGAATCGCAGAATGGTTTTCGAGTTATGCCGCGGCGCACCCGTTGCTTTCTAGTTTTTTCACAATGAAAATTCTTTCGTTTTCCAATGTCTGCGTGCCACAGCTATTTATGACTTGGTAGTACGGATTGTGCACTACGTTTCCTTTGTAGTTTATTGGTACAAAGCTGAGAAAGTGCGTGTACTGTCCTATGGAAGTTGTTTTCGGGTAAATACTTCATAAAATGGATCCATTATCTATTCGTCGTAACAAGATGTCCAAAAATTGCAGTCTGTCATTACCCTTCATTCCGTAAGTAAATTTAACCGATGTATGAGCTTTATTAAAATGATGCGATAAGTGCTCCTGATTATTTTAAAATCAGAAACAATGAATATGTGGTCTGTGTAGCGATGGTAGCAGACAAGTGAGGTTATTATGGGTAGTAAAGGTACATGTAAAAGGTTTGCAAGAAAATATTTGCAAATGGCTGTCCTAAAGGGAACCGCATCGCGACGCTATCCTTCTGTCGTTAATATTTTCCGTCAAAGAAAAACTGTCTGGTTGAACGTGAAGCGTGCGATTAACTCTTTGGCATATTGAACTGGGATACCAATATCAATCTTCTTCCCCGTTAGCTGTTTACATATATAATCGATCTTTTATATTAATGGAACGATTGTGAAGAGGGATTCTATGTCGTGAGAAAGCATCAATCTGTTCTTCCGGTTTAATTGTTCTACTCGCTTAGTGAATTCTATACTTCCTTGATGATTCCTTGCGCAGTGGTTCAAGTACTTCTACTAACCATTTGTTAAATGAGGGCATAGCAGACCCTGACGTATCGATTATCGGCAGTATTGGGACCTTAGTTTTGTGCACTTTTGACACTCCATATAGTTGACGTGGCTGCCAGCCTCAGCAGGTTAACCGGTGAGATCCCTTGTTTAAAGTATTCCTAACTTGGACTCGAAATATTCAACTCTAACAATACACAGTGTTATGCAGTTGAGAGTGACTCAGAAAAATCCTCTTTCATTCATAAATGTTTTATCGAGCTACTCAAGCCGCAAAGCTGTGTAACTAAAATGGAGACGCAGACCTACTTTCTAGGTTTATTTAGTGAAATCATATCGTGGCATATTAATTAAAACTACATTGCTCCATGAGTATTACATTTCTCTCTGCACTTATAGCTTATCTTTGTCCTTGTTTTCTATATTCGATAACTTACGTCTCCATTTTAGCTTCAGTTAGATCTTTCCCATTAATTTCCCTGCATATATGTCCAGATGCGCCTGTCACTGCAGATCTAAAAATCTACCTGTGCCTGCTTTGCGCGGTGCGATTTCGATAGAGTAATTATTATCAACAGTAGGCCGATTCTGTTGTTTAGTTGCAAACGTTTGACACAATTTGCTGTAGCGGACAAATGTTGGGATGCAGGAAGCTGAACGGGAAAGCATGGCTTACACATTGTTCGAAAAGCGATACAGTTTTGTAGGAGTTAAAATCCGAGAAATGCATGCAAAGTACAGCGAGCGGTTACCTCTGTAGAGACAGCGACCGTTCGTGCAATCATTAATTTACATATGATGGAGCTTAAGCTAATGTTACTATGTTATCCATATACATTCGCATATTATTTGTTTGCTTTACACCGAAATTACTTTAATTTTTACTAACGAGGTATAATGTTTATAACAAATATGTTCTGGGATAATATGGCTTAAGCGGATGCATAAAAATTAGCCGATCGTTACTTAAACTAATACTCATGTTTGTGGAACGATATCAGCGATATGCGTCTTATCTATATGCAGAAACTGAGAAACCTGATCCAGGCAAACAATCTCACTTGATGCAACCGGAAGTTTATTTAAAAAACATGATATCTGGCGCAAATAACCTATTGGTTCTGGCGGAGAGGAAGAAAACAGTGTGTATGCACTCAGAGACAAAAATCATGATAACGCAGGAAATAGACTGCAAGTTAATTTCCTTTGCGCCATACCCTATTTCAGCACAACGCTTTTATGGCACAATCTGTAGGTGTGGTTAAACAAAAATTCAAATGTACTGCTATGTATAGTTTAGATTTACCCGATGTATACCCAGAGCAGCTTGCGTCAACTGGCTTCATATTTTCACTTTAGAGACGGTTGCTTTTGCATGCATCCTGATCACATAGAGAGAAGTGATTTTATTAGAAAAGCTACTAAATTGCAATGGGGATTTCGACTTCTTTTAACCTTAATCGGTGAATTTGTACAATGACTGCTTAGTGCTTTAACTACTTAGATAATAATGCCTATACATTTCATTGACGAACAAAGGTTTTAGTACTGTTCCTTGTAGAGTCAAGAACAATAAAAATTTTAATTGGGTAGTACATACTCAATACTTGTACTCCCATTGAATAATCTCACTAACAAGCCCTAGGATGCTACTTAAAATTTGCAGGTTTTATTGAGTTCTCATAATGTCTGAAATGAATACATTCTAAAAAATCTAATAAAAATTTATTATGGCTATTAACCATTTTTAGCTGGTCTAAGTTCTCCATGACTTGATCCGCCCTAGTTTGCTCAAAAGCATTTGTATATCTTATCAATTTGTAGGTCCCATTTTCTTACTTCAGATGCCACCACAAAATAATATTTACGCATAATATTTTTGTATATCCGGTTGCAATAGCCTTTAAATAAAGTGTAACAGACGTTAAATAGTACATGTATATGTAGGACATTCACGCATTTTAAAATACGGATACCGAAAATATTCGCACGAGGACAAATATACAAAAATACATACAAAAGGACGGTCGAAAATCATTTTTCAAGAGATCACGCACTCAAGTTGCATGCCGTCAGGTTTGGCCTTGCTCGACTTGGAACTTAATCTTCTTCGTAGGCGAACGCTATTTCGGATAATGCTGGATTTCACTTTGTGCGCCAACATCTCACTACTTATTTTTGTGGTGTCTGCGTGATTTACACTATGACCTTGTGTCATGGGCTCACTAATAGCTGAAAAATCAGTGATGTTGGGTGTCGGAGGTGGAGTTTGTGCGTGAGTGGAGGAAGAACTGGTAGGATGTGTACCGCTCCATCGTTCAAACAACACAGCTTTGCTCAATTCATTTTGATCCCACAGAGATTTAAAGATGGCCATGATTGAGTCGTTGGTTTTTGCACTGGCGTAGACGAATTGCGATGGTTTTAATCCATTCGACGTTAGCCAGTCCATGGTGGCACTCACGCTGACCTGTGAATCGCTTGGCGGCAAGTCAGATTTGTTGCATACAACAGTGATGGGTGGGGGTGTGTGAACCTCATCATTCGGTTCATGTGCGCTGCAGGCTGTCATAGATGGAATCGAATTGTTATCCAATCTCTGTGATTTGATCAGATTCAACAGGTGACCAGCTTGTTCGAGAGAAGCGGCGTTGTCATGTGAAAATACAATAACAAAGGCATTGGCTTGAGCGATACAAAGTCTTAACATAGCAGGAAAATAGTAACTACCAGCGGTGTCGATTACCAGCAACGGCACAACATTGTCATGTACGATGTATTTTTGCGAATGTGTGTCTTCAACCGTTGGCGTGTAGTTCGGATCGAATGCATTGTACAAAAAGCGCCGAATAATAGAGGTTTTACCAACTTTAGCAGAACCAAGGAACAACACCCGGACAGGCCCGTCCACTTTTGCTGTATTTCCATCATCCGATCTTTCAGAATGGCTTTTGGTTAACTCCATCTTGGATTCCGGCTCACCAGCATGGGTTGCAAGTGATGGAGGCGTGGTGCCATGCAGTCTTTGCATAGACATAGCAACATTTAACTTGTCAACACGTTGGTGAACATGGTTTGCTAAAAATTGGAATTAGCACGTTGAATGTCAGAGGCAGTTTTGGTTAACGTACTAATTTCATCCAAATTTATAAAAAAGGTCTAAAACAGCGGCCGACAACCGTGCATTAGGGAGCGTATGTAAACACTCCGACTGCTCCATTCATATAAATTTACGTTAGCGGTATTGCTTTGTTGTACCGGTGCGTTTTAGACTCATTATTTTAGAATGCCCTTCATTAAGCGCAAAATATGAATAGGGGCAAAATGTTTTAACACGAAAAACTTGAAGCCTGGTATATCTTCTTTTATTGAAGCTAATATGAAATTTCATGTGGTATCCATATCAGTAATAAGAATAAGCCACAACAACAGACAAGTTTTACTGATGTGGTCAGAAAAGATTAATAAATGATTTGTTTATATATGCTTGATAATTACGGTATTTATTCGTACTAAGTTTATGCAACTGAATTCTTCTTCGATATTTATTTTGGTTACAAATTAACCGCCTGTTCATTCATAAGCAAAGTGCCGGGTACTTTATGGTACTCTATCTATGCCATCAAATTCTTGGAGTTATTTTCTTCTGAGCCTAACCATTATCGTATCTGTAGCTGACGTTTTGTGTGTACATCATCATATAAGCTTTAAAGAGAGTTGAGGTGAAAGTACCAACAGTGAATTTTTAAAAGAAAAAGAGTGATAGCCGCTGATTTAGAAGAGCGTCTGCATTCAGGCTCATTGTACTGCTCAAATTGCTTGATGAGAAAAAGTGTCCGTCCAAGGGGTCGAAATAAACAGGCGTTTTCTAATATACACTGCAAAACACCTTAGTTTGGCGCATCTTTAAATACCGCGTATAACCTTGACTGTATTGTTTGTGAATAAGAAGATATGTGTATACTATTTCCACATATTTATTTAATACGGTTTCAGCATTTATTTGAAAAAATGAAAAGTGTGGCAAAAGCCTGGTGTATTCTTATTTATAAAAAAATTGTTGTCCGATATATCATCCATCGGTATGGGAAGAAAAGTGTTATTTTATCCGCGGGATGAGAATGCACGGCTGTTTATATCGCAGTATTTCTCAAATGTGCTATGAGATTACTCTCCATAAAATAGAAACGTGATCGAATGATTTCAGTCGTCTATAATGTGTGTCACTAAATCTCATTTGTGCACAGTATTGCAATATTTCTTATCTCAGTGAGTCTTTTGAATTTTAAAAATGAGCAAATAACATGAATCTAGTAAATTAAAAACGGAAGTTACTGGCCGAACTGTGTTTAGGGAAAAAGACTTTTGGATAACATGCGAATTAAATATATTCGGCGAGATTATACGACAAACAAAGAAAACTGGTTTCCTTTTTTGTACATAGGAGTTATATAGGAACACATTCGGATAAGTATGCGGTCATTAGAGTAAAGAATAAGATTCCTGAAGTTATATAAATCGGTGATGCCACACACGGAAATAGTTTTAGCAACAAGTACTCAAAATTCGATCGACTATTAAAAGCGTTTTTGCGTATGTATTATTGACTTTCATCCTAACTTATTCACCACAGATTTTAATTATTTTAATAGCGTTACCGCAGGGCGGAATTTACTTAAACAACTGAACTTCTTTTCGTTTGTAGAAACTTCATCCATCAAATGGAGGATAATTGTATTCATACGAATATCCATTAATATTGATTAATATCAATCATTATAAATTTAGGCTTTAGCAACCTAGACCATATCTTATTACGTTGCAACATATTTCCAAGAAAAATTTGTCTAGTTTGTTTGTAATATCAACTGAAAGCTAGTTGGTGAATGTACCACTTTCTAAACGCTATAACCAAAATGTACATGGGAATACTTTTAAACATTTTCGTAAACGCCCATTAATATATTTGCGGAATTTGCTTGCTGCGTAGGTTTATTTTATTGCTTGCTCTGGTTTGTGCTATTAGAATATGATTATTTGCATGCTTCATTAATACAGCATACGATGACGTCTAGCAGCGTGCAAACGGCTGTGGCGCTTCGCAAATATCAGCTGACTAAGATGCGTCAACTTATGGTTGACACGAAAGTAAGTCGAAATTGCAAATCAAATACAGAACTCTTTGTTACTAAGCAGTGTCTTGTCAAGCAAGTTGGAGGATATAGATAGTTCTATTATAGGCACAAGGAGATTAAACTCGTTTGCTCGATATTACGTGGACATTTTATTTTAGGCCATCTTAGGACCACAATGTTTTCATTCAATTTGACTAAAAGAATCGTTGATTTTAAAGGATTACGTTATTATCTCGGAGAATCTTCCCAGCAACTTTGCATGATCTGTTGACCGCTTTATAATGAACATGCAACTAATATGATTTTGAGGATAATGGGTCAGGTTTTCAAAAATGGGGCTAGACAATTGAAGCAGAAATCCCAACACCGGAGTAAATTACACTGAAATGCATCGACAACGATTTCACTCAAATAAACAAATATACGTTTACAACGCGTTCTGACATAATTTCGTAAATATATAAGTTGCACACGAAAATAACCGTCCGACTGATGCCGCAAATTTACAGCCGATTGTCGCCATATAGTATTGTGGATTATATTCACTTCACGGCAGTCAACATCATGTCAACTTGTACGAGCAATAATTTAAAAGCAAACAGTTTCCCTCTCACAAGCTGTGTTTTTCTAATGGCCTTAGTACTGGAAAGAACTTGTTAGAATATTATACAATAAGTGCTAAATTGCGTAAACAAAACCGTGTTGGGTGGCAATATGCTTCATGGAACAAAGAATGGAGACATGCTTTCGTTTATAAAGAAACGTTGAATTGAATATTAGCATTAGCTTCCGTGATTATTCTTAGCTAATTTTCATGTTGCTGCAACGGATCTATGTTCATGAGGCGAGCAACCCATTTATATTTGTAGAAGGGTTTGGATGATCGTTTGTCCTACCGAAAGCGTAAAGTCAAGATCACTATCTACATGTGCCTTCCCCGAGGCACAATAACAAATCCTAGGTTTTGTCATTCAATGCAACATTTTGATTGCCCATTCTTGAAATGCAAGCCAAGATGTGTGAGTCGGCAGAATTCAGTCCGACTAGCCGACTTTTGTACCTTCCTCAGCTTTCAAAAATCCAGTTCAGGATCAATTTACGTGAGTTTACACCAGCTACAAGAGAGTACACTGATTCATCCCCGTGCATTTAATGACAATTTTAACCAATTTTTTCAATACCTTCTCTTCCTTGGTTTTCGAAAAGTCATAGATGGCGCCATCAGCTCCGATGTCAGCCTGGTCTGGTCTTTCATAACAAAGGAAATCGGTTCCATTTGTGTAATACAGTTTCGCTTAACAGCAACCATTACTGAACAGTCAAGGTATGTCTTGTCATTCGCGGGATGGTAGAGTACAAAGAAGTTGCCCGCTGCTATGACCGCAAGTTCAGGTGAAACATCTTTCCGCAACGAAATGGCTAACCCTGGGATTTTGTACCGTTCACCGAATTTTAGTTTGTTTTCGACGCTGACGTATGCCGCACAGCTATAAACGGACGAAATATCTGAAGTTCTATGTTGACATTTGTGTCCATGCTAAACTCGTGCGTGTTCGCACGTACAGATTTTTACCCGCAAATTATGTGGTTATAAAACCTGAAATAAATTATAACACTTCAGTAAAGTTTAAATCTCTAATTATTTGGGAGGACGCATACTATCTCAGCTACGTTTAAATGCAAACCATACTTGTGGATAGCAGCCAGTTTGGACTGTGTATGAAGCTGAAAGAGATAAGTGAATTTCTCGATGTACGTCAACCTCTGGCGTAGGTGTGTTGAAACCAAGATATAATCGCTTAATGCAAACGCTCTTCATACTAAGTGCCTTAGTCGACATCAGGTAAATCCAGTCATTCTCAAAGTTCATATCACACAAGACTGCTTTTCAATGAAAATACTCTTGAAACTATGCACCCACCTGTCTAGTATTGCCCGATTATCTTTTGTAAGTGGTATACCTCAATATTATAATATACTGTAGTCAGTACTCTTGACCAAGTATTATTGCGTTGCAGGAAACCTGACTTCAATTCAACGCCAAGAAGGTTATTTTAGAATGGGATAGATTAATCTCATGCCGCGTTTATCACCTATTTATGTAAAGGGATGTTAGTGATGGCGCTATCACCTGTAATGTTTTTCATGTTGCAGTTGGCAAATATAATTCTTAAAATCAGCTCGCGGCGTATTACCACTATACTCGTGAAAGAATTTTGATCAGCTATCGTTATATCTTTGGCATGTACCTAATTTTCTCCAACTCTTCCAGCTGTGACAGAATAATTTTACAAGAGATTTATAACTGTTGTCCTTGGATTCATAGAATTCTTGTAGTGTATATTTGCTAGCGATTTTAACGAATCTGACACGGGTTTCATTGCGAAGATTCGACTAATGTATATTTGCTATCTCCAACCGGGTTAGCGACAACCCCAGACAACCTAGTTGTTAACATTTAGAAAAGGCTTGTTACCTGCAATCGGGCACTGCTTAGCAACTCAGATTACGCCCTGGCAAATTTGTCTTCTGTTAATTAGAGCAGGAGAAGACAGTAAATGGCAAGCTTACGGGTTGAAGCAGCGTCAGTCCTTTCCTCAGAATATTGAGCTTGTGCGTAAAGATGTTATAGCGAGGTGTTTGTCTTATTTGTGATGTACACATCGATATTTTGTGGCCTGCTAATCAGTTTCCGTAACGTTTGCTTTAGCATCTGCTGTCCAGCTGAAATAACTTTCATTCCTGCAGGTACTTTCCCATATCAGCGTACCATACAAATGCGTGAATTTAAAGAGAGGTTACTGAACACCAATACATTGCCTAAGTTCCTCCTTGTTTCCTGATATAAAAATTTAATCTCACTGCCAAGGCAAATCCATGCAAATAGTGTGTTTGGAAACAATATGCACCAAAAAACATGGTACGCAAAACATGTAAACGTGG